ATTATCATCGAGTCGAGGAATCTCTTATATATATTCTCAAAACCCATCTCTTTAAGTTCACGTTTAATCCATTCCATAATTCATATACATTAACATGCTATATGTGTGCATTATTAGATAGTTTAATATACTTTGATATGAATTATATAGATATCAAGTGAATCACTTGTTTAATATTATATAGAATATATTAAAAATTATTATAATAAAAAAAATGTTATAGTTGAAATATCACTAAAAAGTAACACGATAAAGAAAATAAAAACAAAACTTATCATCCATCCTTAGTCACAAAGCACTTGTAAAGTAAGTCTATTATCACAAAATGTTATAGAAGACCAATGTAAGACAACTTCGTCAATATTTCCTTTGGATGGTTAGTTGGGTGAATGATTACAATCTTTAACTTAATAATAGTTTAGTTTGGCTATAAAGACAAGACATGAAAGATTTGAATGGGGGTGAAAAAGGCTTTGATACCATACATTGTATTGTCTTTGTTAGGACTATATATAAAATTGTGAAAATTTGAATATAATATGCTAATGAGAACTAGAAAGGACCAAGGAGTAAAAGGATTGATTGTTTGAAAGATATTAATAATGGAGAAAAAAGCAGAATGCGTGGGTCAAAGTTGCCTTTTTCTTCTCCCCCCTTGTTTTGAGGCCGGTGGCTGGCTGTGCTAGATTAAAATATGCTGCGTCATTTTATTTGCAAACAACAATTCTCACTGTCCCACTGCCTAATTCGATGTCGTTTTCGAATCAAAATCAGACGCTCGATCTTAAACAAATTATTTACTTTTAACTTTCATTTATTTATTTATTTATTTTTTAATCACACACATTGCTTTTCTACCTACACCAGTTGTTACCTTGCAGCATAGTAAATTAATTTCTCAAACTTACTAGTACTGGTACTTGTAATATATATTTAATTTAAATTATATAATGAGAGGTGTAAATTTTCTTATTTTTTAATTTAATATATTTATATATTATACAATTTAAATTTAA